TGCCTTGGGGAAGGTGTTTAACTTTGTGGCTGTTCCGAATGAGGGCTCTTGTAGGGGGTTCTGCTCCATAGGCCCTGTACCTAAACCCCTAAACCACTAAACCCCTAAACCCTAAACCCCTAAACCCTAAACCCCTAAATCCCCTTAGCCCTTAAGGAGCCCAGGATGGTTTGATTAACATGTAACGTGGTGGGCGTGGTAGGATCTCCATCGGTAGTCTCTGCCAGTAAGTTTGGCTGTTGGAAGGGCGTGTGGCAGATCATGGAGCAGTTGTGAAGCAAGGTTTGTATAGTTTGTGTTTGAGGATCTCAGTCGCGTGGGGGTTCCAAAAAATCAAAAAGCCTAGAAGCACATTGCCAGGATGTGGCTTAGGAAAAGTCGGGTTCCTGAATGGTCGCAGGTTTCTGTAGGGTTTGGGTGGCTTTGGAGTTTTCACTGTGGTTCATAAATCACAAACACCCCAAAATCCTAAGACTAAACCCTTCCTATCTCCAACATGTGTCTGGAAGTGGCTACCAAACGGCGCAGGGCAGCGCCGGAAGGTAGGGCGCCATGCCCCCCGCCTTCAATAAGGATTAAGCGAAATTCGGCATGCTCTGGCCCCTGCCGTGGTCCCTGCGAAACGGAATCTAGAAATCATGGGTTTGCATTGAAGGGTCTTGGTTTCTTAAAGCAGAGTACCCCGACATTGTGCACAGAGTGTCGGCGACTACACGGCCGACATCTAACTCTGCCACTCTCAGTCCCCAATGGCTCGAAAAAACCTCGCAGAACAAGCCTCAAGCTAGCAACCAGTCGAAGCCTACACCGCGACCTGTGTAGTGCGAGTGCGCACCCGCACTCCGCTTGCTCGCTGCCTCCCTGCAGGCTAGGATGTAGGCTTCGGGGACTCCTCATCTTGGGTTGAAGCCCCTGAAGCCCTAAGTCCCAACTCCAAAACCCCTCGAAGGCCCCTTATCCCAAGCTAGAAGCAGGTTGGTCGGCGGTGCCGGTTCGGTTGCTGACCGACAATCTCACAGCCGTGACACCGGGGCCGAATCCTAGCAGCACTGCAGAGTTCCCTAAGTTTAGATGATGTTACAAGCTCCGCAACCCAAATGCTGTGCATAGTCCTCAGTCCTGCCCACCCTAAAAGCACGGCTCCTAAACCGGAAGCTCTTACCCCAGCAGACCCCGCAACCCGTTATCAAGCCCCAAACTAATCCTATGCGGAAGGCTTCTGCCTACCCCGATCCATGTTAAAAACTTTGCTTAAGCGACCCCATCTTTCATAATGATTATAGTGCAGTGTACCCCACAGCCCTCTGTGAATCACTTGAACTTGGTGCTTTCTGAAGCTCCTGAGGATGAATCTCTCCTTGAACCTCTTCGAAGGCCACGTGGCAAAAAGTGGATCCGTTTTGAAAATGCGCTCCGCAACCCCGAAGCCCTACGCCCCGAAACCCTAAAGCCGAAGACCAGAACTGCAGGATTTAGGGTTCAGGGAGTCACTGAACTCAATCAGCCTCAGGGTTCAGGTTTCACGGGCACATCAGGAAGCCGAGTTGCTAGTTTTCTCAGTTAGTGTGATACAGGCGGCTCAATAATCATATGGGGTTTGAGGTTATATTACAGTATACAGTAAGCTGTCATTAGTATTGGTAGTTATTCAGGCTGCTTCTACATTAGGGTTTCGCCAGCTGGGCGTTCCGCAAGATCAGTGTGACAGAAGAAAGTAAGATTGACAGTCCAATCCAGCCGGGCCGACATCAGGAGTTTGGTCTGATTTTCGCGGTCGGAGTAACTGATACTTATATCCCCTTATTGGCCCGACATAATCGTCATAGCATGACATACGACATACGACCCCATTTCAAATCTGAAGGCCCCGAAGTTGCCACGGTGAAGTTGCCTGCCATAGATCATGCTAGAACAGCAGACTGGCTCACACCTTCGAAGTAGCTTTCAACGACCGGAACAGGAGTACTGACACGGGTACTCCAAACAGAACGGCAGATCAGCCGAGCCATGATGTGCCCCGGAAGCTTTGTTTCATTCCAATGAACCCGATACAGTAGATCACCGACTCTGCTAATTTTGGGAAGCGAGCCCTTATCGTAATGCTTAAGATGGCCCTTACAGGACACCCTTATAGTACACCCTGGAGTAACCCTTGTAGTCGTAAGCCTTTGGTGACCCTTCCCACTGTACCCCCTCCAGCTGAAGCCTAAATCAATGCGCCGGGCCTAGTTCAGCACCGCATTTTCCGAGACGGTAAGACCATTTCCCCAAATTGTGCATGAGCAAGTGGAGGGGTTTTAGCGTTTTGGGTTTAGCGTTGGCTGGTCACACCCTTCAAACCCTATGTTCTTGCTGCGGTCGGCATCGAGTATGACATGACATGCTGTGACGTCGGCTAATCCCTGACCCCCTAAGGCCGGGAAAAGCTGGGGTGCAGGCTTCAGGGCATAGAGTTCGCCGTACATCCGAAACCAAAACCCGAAACCCTACGCTCCAAACCACAAATGCTATTCCCTTCCAATCCCTAGGCATGCACGGCCCACTGATCGCATAATATACCCCAGACCATATCCCAACTATTCAGGCCCTCATCTCTACAAACACTAGAATTAGACGAAAATTCGACCCGCAACGAAGCTTAAGACGCCTAGAGGCGTGGACGGTATCTTAGGAGGTTCCGGCCCGACTTTGCCACAACCTCGGACGTGGGGGAATGAAGGGAATTTAGGTCGCCAGGTGTAGAATTTAGAGTTTAAGGACATGGGATTCGAGTTGAAGGCTTCAGGTCTTGGCTAAGGGCGTTTGGTGTGTTTGTTTTTTTGTTTGCTATTTTTGGGTTTGGGATGTTGTTTAGGGGTCCGGGCGTAGGTCTGTAAACCCCCCCAACTCCCTAGGCCTCTAAAGCCCAAACCCTGAACCCCTAAACCGCAAATCGGCAATGCCGACAACCCAAGCTCCCAACCCCAAAGCCCTGAAGCCTAAACCCCGAAGCCCCAGGCCCTACACCGTAAGGCTGCGGGTTTGGGGTCAGGGCGGAGGAGCACGCTCTTGAATAGGAGGCTTGGATTTCGGGGTTTCGGGTTCAGGGCATGAATCTGTGGAGCTTCGGGTGTGTGAGAGGTTGGGGAATTTAAAGTGCAACGTTTGCAGAATTTGCCTAAGAAGTCGGAGTTACTCCAATACTATTCCTTGGGGTTCCTATCATAGTCTCAGGCAGAAATATATACTCTAAAGCCCCATTCTGATTACTAAAGCCCCTGGGTTGCTGTCGTTGAAGAGTTTGGAGCCTTGGGTACAGGAGAACGCGGAGCCTAAACCCTAAACCCTAAGTTTCAAACCCCAAACCCTAAACCCTAACCACCCCCCNNCCCCCCCAAAAAAAAAATATATATATAGAAGAAAAACACAAACAAACCTAGGAACAGAGACTTCTCAGGTCGTGTCGGAACACTACACTGTGGCATTTGCTGCTCCAGCGCTTGAATGCAACACGCCACTGGGTGGCAACGGGACTTCGGGGTTTGGTGGTATCAGATTCGGGGTAGAGGGTTTAGCCTCAAATTCCAAACCCATTGGTTAGTCGCAATACCCCTGATCGTGGGGGGTGGGGGGGTGGGGCCTCTGCCCCCAATAGAAACTAGCGCCTTTCATAATTGGGCCGGGGTTTTCCTGAAATGTCGCTGTACGAGGATCTCACTCTTGATCTTGCTCTTGCTCCTAAATTCCCAGATGCAAATTGGGCTTTAAAACGCCAGGATGTAGGATGTGTTCAGGATGATTTTCCGGAAAGTGTGGTGATTATTAGGTGCGTGTTTCATGACACGGAGGCAAGTGATTAGATGATTAGCCCCAAACCCTTCAGGGTTCCCTGGTTAACGGTTTGAGGTTAAGCATTTCTGAGGTCCTGTTTTGGGAAACCCTAAACCCGGCCCTAAACCCTTTTTGAGCTCCTGTTGGTGTCTTACATGATAGTCAGAACCCTACGCATCTACAGTCTCGATTAAGTCCGCGAGGGCCCCCGTGTTCTGAATACTACCGCATCGATTCTTTTCGTTCCTTTGGAGTGAACTGAACTTCCGGGTGATCTTCGGATGGTCGCCCGCCGGCCTGTTTTCTACTCCTACAACCTCGGGCGCGATCCGCACTGAAGGAGGCTGGGGCGGCTTCGCCATCGCTGCCATGGGACTTCTCTGCTTCGGCAATTACTGACCCATCGTCAGTTGGATCATGGCCCTGGTGTTCGCCATTGGCCTCCTCATTGTCCTGGTCTGGGTTCTACACAGCTGCGAGAGGTGGCTTTGCTGCTGCTGCTGCTGCTGCTGCTGCCGCTTTTGTTCAAGGAGGACAACGGCAACAGGGGCCGCCGCGGCACCCAACCTTGACCTACCACCTGCGAGGATGGTAAAAGGCTTCCAGGCGATCACTCTTCATGGACCACAAGAAGCTCTCCCGTGTCACAACGGCCCAACGCGGCGTATGCCACAGTCGTTCCGACTTTCGACTTCTCTGGTCTGACTGTGGCGCTCCGCCGTTACTTTACTGCTCGTCCACCCGTCGCAGCAAAAAGTTTGTGCTACAGTTGCTGCCCTTTGTGGTGGTATGGTCGAGTGTGAAAAGGCAGAACACAATGTGAAGGTTGGACTAAGGCAAGCTGCTTACACAAGTAGTTGTACATGCATCAGTACACGTCTAAGTATTAGTATGAGTATTTCCACGAGTATGAGTGTAAGTGTTTTTTCGTTTTCGTATTCGTATTTCATAACGTTAGTATTGCTACATGAGCTCGTCTGTTTAAGTGTTCAACCTTGTTTCGGTCCAAGGTCAGAACTTCGGCAACTCTGAAATCAGAGCTTCTGCCAGTTTTGGCCCCTCTCCGCCTCTTGTGCACATCGTAGTCAACGTATCGGCATCGCAAAGAATCCCTGAACCAAAGCCTTGTTTGATTTTTGAGTTGGGGGCGGGGCTTAATTTCAACTCGTCGTCAATCACGACTTGAGCACATGTCTTCCTGCGTTTTCGCAAAGCCCCGGACGCCGCTCGAAATCTACGGCCGATCGTTGCCCAATGATGCAGACGCCGCTGGGCACCAAATAGCGATCTAAGAGCACATGCACGCGTTTTGGAGCCCTGGGTCTGTTTAGCTATCTGTTGCTCAGGCCGCTCCGATGCTCTTCCCTATGTACACCGTAGCTGCAGATGTGCTGCTGAAGATGACGAGGGTCGAGCCCCACGAGAGGTTGAAGGCAGATCCTTTTGGAGTCAGGATGTGCTATTGAAGGGCTTCAGGCGTTGGCAGGGCTGAGAAACGCTTGCGACTTCTGTACGAATTGGACTACGTATACCTCACATGAAACCCGCCCTGTCTCTCTCTCCCAACATGCCAAACAGCGGAAGGGGCACATAATTCTAAACCACTTGTTTGCTCAGATGTTGGGGATACCTGGCATTTAGACAGTAGGGTTTTTAAGCTAAGGATAAAGGGCGTTCGGATGATTCTTGGACTTAAGGCTTACCGTTTGAAGGACAAAGGCGAGCTTGTCGTGTTCAGCGACGACTTGGGCCAAGCAGCATTCGTCTCGCACCAGTGGCTTGCCAAGGATCACCCGGATCCTGATTTCAAGCAGATGCGTACCCTACAAAATGCTTTGAAGCGCATCCTTAACAGCTCTGGATCGCTTTCCTTGGACTTCATCACGGAAGCCTTGGTGCAAACGGCTAAGCCTCTTCCCATGCGGGAATTCCAGGTGCAGACGTTGTATTTCTGGTACGATTATTTTTCATGCCCACAGCCGGAATGTCAAGGCAAAGCGTCCAACCAGATGGAATACCTCCACCAAGCTAAGGCAATCAGCAGCATACCGGGCTACATAAGTGAGTGCCGCTTCTTCCTTGCGCTTTGTCCGGTGCTCGAGTGCCCCTTGCAGGGCAAGGTGCTAACAGCAGCGACATGGAGCAGTAGGGGGTGGTGTCGCCTAGAACGAGCTGCGCGCGAGCTGTCGGCAAACAGCACCTGGGTTCTGATTCAGAGCGATGCCTCCATAGAAGTTGTTGGAACAGCATTGTCTTTTCCCAGCGGCATAGTTGGGGAGGGCGACTTCGGCGTCGTGCAGGATCGGCAGAAGCTTGCCCCGGTGATGCGGCAAATCCTGGCTAACAAATTGCATCATTGCCTCCGAGTGGGCGACTTGGCCGGGTTCCGGCGCCACTTGAACCTCCAGAAGGTTCATCTGCGAGGGCTTGTGATCGAGCCGGTGACCGGCCTGCTGCCTAGCTGCGAGGCCCCTGGTGGTGATGTAGTGGCGGAGTTCCTGCACCAGAACGGCTTCAGGAGGGTCCGTGAGGCCGACAATGCAGGGTGGTGGCCTCTGCACTACGCAGCATTGGCCGGCAATGCAGAGTTACTGAAAGGGCTGCTGGAGAAGCGTGCCAGCGTGAACCGTCGCGCGTCGAAGGATGAGCCGCTGCTGGGCTTTCCGCCTTGGGTGTCGGCTTTGGATCTGGCGGTGTTCTACAAGCACCAGGAGGCCACACGGCTGCTTCTCGCGATGAGAGCTCAATTGCAGGGAGGAGTTTCGCCAGCCATCATCGGGGCGGCCACTTCGGACAATGCGGAAGGTATCCGGCTCCTGTGCGCAGCAGGTGCCAGGCCGCTGGCCACGAGTATGATTGGGTCCACTGTCTTGCAGTGTGCGGCAGGCAACGGAGCCGCAGCAGCTTTGGAGGAGCTGCTGGTGCATGGTCGCCCAGGTTCGCTGGACCTTTCACGAGCACTCTTCGATGCTGCTTTTTTTCGGGGTGGCTCAGCGGAGATGGTGCGGCGTTTGATTGGCCTTCGTGCCGACATGGACTTTCAGATGAATGTGGCACGCGACTTCAAGGCATTTGGTCGGCTGCTGTTTGCGGGGAAGTCCTTGCAGTACCGCCTCGGTCGGGCTACTGCTCTATCGACTTTAGCCTATCACTTGCATGGTAGCACGCCTTTGATGCAGGCCATCCGGTCGGCTCAATTCGAGGCGGCCGCGGCCCTGATCGCCGCGGGTGCTAGGCTGGACCTCCGGAATTCCAGGAATTGGACCGCGGCGGACTTTGCCCGTGGTCAGTCGATCCCGGCGTTTCTGCAGCTGGGCCTGGAGGGCGACCCATCGGAGTGCCGAAAGGTGTCCTCGCTCGCAACTGGCGGTGGCTACGCTGAGGTTCCTTTCTGATGTGTGATCAACAGAAGCAGGTGGGCGAAATCGTGCTCCCTACTCCCTGCTTCTTGTGAAGCCACCAAGGTCACCTCTGGTGTTGGATTTTGGATTTCTCAGGGTCTTGGGGTTTCCGGTTGAAAGTTTCAAGACCTTGTTCGTTTTCATCAGTTAGGCATGATGGCTCGATTGGAAGCGCTGGCGCCAAAGAAGTTCCGAAACCTTAGCCATCTTTGCCGAAATCCTAATCCCTGCGCTGACACTGCCCGCTAATCCTTCAACAATCATCCCGAACTCCTAAGGCTAAGATCTTAACGTGGAGGGTGTTTTGGGGAAGTTCCGAGGGGCCCCGACTCTGGCAGTCTCGCATCCCTGAAGCATCTGGCTTTCAGGTTTTTTTCTGGACTTCAGGGCGCCGCCTGCGGCACTGATTCAGGCCGCCTCCTGAGGAAATTCCGGATTTCCGGTTGTGCGGCGAGTATTTTGGAGTTGATCGCCCTACCCATCCCGACCCGCACGCATCCCGCCATTCGTTAAAAAGCTCACGTGAAGATATCATAGCGTAGACTTGCTTTTGTTAACCCAAAACCCTAAACACAAAGAACTAAACTCTCAATCACACTTTCTCGAATGTTTAGGGTTTAGGGGTTTAGGGTTTAGGGGTTCGGGTTTTGACTTCAGTGCGCTTAGGAGTGGAACTCAGACCCCCGACACCTCACGACTCTACTAGGGTGGGAGCTGTACCAGCGGAGACCACAAAGCCAAACAGGGTGTGGGGTGAATTACCACATAAAGATTTGCCCAAAACCCTGTTCGAATAATGAAGGCCCCCATGTTAGGAAGGATTTCAGGGTTCTGGCTGTCCAGCCTGCGGCTTGCAGGCAGTGCCGGAGACCCCGATCGAACCTGTTGTCGTGGAGTTCCACTTAAGCCTCAAACCCCAAAGTCCAAAGCCGTAAACCCGAATCAGAGATGCACACCCAACAGAAGGTGCTTGCCTTAGTGCCCGAGGATCCCGGCCAAAGCCAGATCGTCTTCAACGAGGCCAGTTTGAGAGGTAAAGCGCATCAGGGGTCGGGCGTCAGGGAATCAGGGGGGGGGGGGGGGGGGG